AGTACTGATACACGCTACAATGTGTTTGAACCTTGAAAACATGCATAGTGAAAGAAGCCAGTTACAAAGACCACAGATTTATAATTCCACTTACATGAAATGTACATATTAGATAAATTCATAGACACGGAAAATAGACTAGTGGTTGCCAGGGCATAGGAGGAGAGAAGATTTGGGAATTACTGCTAATATGTATGGGGTCTCTTGCTGGGGCGAGGGAAATATATCGGAATTAAATCATGGGGATGGCTACACGATATTGTGAATATACTAAAGAAATCACTGAGTTGAATTAGATTTTATCCTCTGGAGATATTTTTGTTCAGGCAGGCAATCTATCTGATTAAGTTAAAATTATGAGTTCCAATTCCCCTTCTGTGGTCCATGATTCCAGAGTCAGTTCAGTTTCCAAAGTGTTGGCAGGACTCCAGTTCTGTTCCACTCTTGTGCCATCTAGTAGCCAGCTGGGGACCATGGGCTGTGGTCTATCAGTTTAGCTCAGTGTCTGTATTCGGCAGGACCAGATCCACACAAGAGCAGCTCAGAAAGAAGCCCTGGAGTTCATAAACAACTTTAGAGGGTCGCTTCCCTGAACAACTCTCTTAGCAATTTCCCTGTCACTTTCGTTTCCTGGAGTTTCTCGTTTTAGCCTTCCGATCAGAAAACCAAGACTTTAGTTACCCAGCTCCGCCATGCACTTACTTCTACATCTGGGACTAAGGAACAGAATAGAGCTGCAACAAAAGCAGCATCAGTTGGTTTTGCTCTCTTGGGACTACAGCTCTGCCAGTTGGAGAGGTGCTCTGCTTCGGAGTTTTGGTTCCTGGCGCCTAACTCAGTGGAAAATTTTGCAGGCTGTTCTCTTTGACTAGAAAGCCTTGTTCCCCTTTCTCCTGAAAAGCTCTTTCAGTATCTTTCAAATCCCTGTTCAGCCATCACCACCTTTGAGAAATCCTCCTAGAGTCCCTAGAATTAATCATTGTCTCCTCTAAGCAATCTTTGTATCCTACTCATATTTCTAATGTTGGTTCTTATCACACTATATTCTGATGCATTCTTTATGGCCCCTGGTAAACTGAGCTTTCCAAGGACTGAAAGTGTATTGCTGTTTTATTATCTTTTAGCACAGTGGCTGACAACGTTGACATTCAATAAATTTTTCTTGAACTTGTTACCCTCTCCCCACTTCTCATTTGCTATCTCTTATCTGATACAGGAAACTCATTAAGCCATTAAGCTTGTTAGGATTGATATAAACCAAGTAAGTGATAAGCAGGGCTTGTGGGATTTTTCTGAGTATATGAACTTTTAGTGCCTGGACCTTAGGATACATTTTGGGTTTTTTTAAGGCTTTAATTTACAATTTTTTGCCTATGCTCTGGTAGAAGTTGCCAGAAAGCTTGGTTCCAAATAATTTACGACTCATTATATGTACACAAAATTAGAAGACCCTAGCTGTCCTCTGGAGTTTACAACTTGAGGGAAATATCCATGTAAAATTTCAAAAATAGCATTCAAGAACAATACCTCCTGATTAAATGTGGGGTTTTACTAATTGAGATGTTATTAATTGGAAAGCAGTAGGAATACTTTTCAAAATGTTAATTCCTTTGCTCCAATATAATCCCTGTTATGAGGTTGAATATGCTAAAAATATGTGGCAAAAGAATACCCTTATAGTAAGCTGCTCCTTTCATCATGCATGTTCGGGATTGAGAACTGCTTCTTGGACTGTATAAATATGACTTACATTTGTAATAGTAAACATGAACCAATTGCCTGTCTGGTACAATTTTAGATTTAAGAAGCCACTTGCCCTTTCACTGAAGATGACAGTCATTAAGTGGAGAGTTTCCTACTTGTGTCATCAAAAATTCTAATATGACAGCAAGATTAGAAAGTAAAGCAGGACATCTCAAGGTTTTAGAAGTGACCTGGAGAAACTGTGTTTTCTCTTTCTAAAATATTGGGATTTCCCAGTGGCAAAGTTGAGTCTCAGGTCAGGCAGGGCAGCACACAGTAACCAGCTCACTTGTGCTGGCCAGGGTTCACTGGGAATTCTAGAAAGTGAAGAGGGATGTGTGTCTGAGGCACTGAACTCATGCTCCATCAAGTAATAAGACTTTAAGGTTCAGGTGATCACATTATAGTTTTGGGAGCATACCAGGAGCAAAGCTTTCAACTCTAAAATTTGTGATAATTTAGACAAGAGCTGCTTTTAGCTCATAGGTGGAAGAAAATTTGCCAAAACCACCACGGAAGATGTGAACAATATTGTAAGACATGTTTAAATCATGTAACACATTACAAAAATAAAGTTAGCATTTCCCATTACTGGCAGTTTGAAAAACACTACCCACATAGAGTCCTCCTCCTCTCCCTGCAAAAAACAAACAAAAACAAAACCCCCCCAAATTTAAAAATCATTTTCATAGCATTTTGATGTATTTCTGCCATCTTTTTAAAATGCTGTTTTGCATATATTTATGATGATCCTGTATAAGATCTTGAATCCTACTTTTAACATTATAAGCATTTTCCAAGTAGATTCTTTTCAGCAAGAAAAGGATGACATCTGTGTTTTTGAGAAGAAAACCCTGGCTGTGGTCTTTGTGCTGGTTCTTAGCTTTAAAAATTCTAATAGCTTTGTAGACTACTTGAAACTGGCAGAAGTGTAATGTATGTGTCCACGCAGTTAGTCACTCAGTAATCACTAAGCTCCTACGGGGCGCTGGGTGTACTCTAAGTGTCATGGAGAATACAAAGACAAAAACAACAGTCCTTCCCTGCAGGAGCCAGCCTTTTGGTGGGAATATGAACCAATACATAGTACAGTGCACTTAATAACCGCTGAAAAGTTATGAACAAAGAACTAGGGGAGCAAAGAAGGATAACTCATTTGCTTAGAAAAGTCAGGAAAGGTTAAAAATGGAGTGAAATTTGAGCTGGGTCTCAAAAGTGAGAAGGGTACTTTTATTATAGGAGGGCCAGTCAAGATTTGGGAAAGATAGTTCTCTGTGGCATGGCAAAAGATTTAACAATAGGTTGGGACCTGTCTATGAAAGTCTTTGATACCCTAGGAAAGAGTTGGGACTTTATCCCCCGTTTCAGTAAGCCAAGCCAAGGATAATGAACAAGGTTGCTTGGAAGTCAGAGCAGAGGATAGCATGGGGGTGGGCAGGGGCTACAAGTCAGGACAAGAAAGGTGTCTGGGACCTTTCTATAGCTGAAGTGATGAATTTTAGAGTACTCAGATATAGGGACAGATGGAGGTTATAAGGAGAGTATAGTAGGAGTCAACTTAATGTTTAGCTTGGAAACCTGCATAGATGGAGATGCCACTATGGGAAATGGAGAAAATAGGAAATGGAAGAGGGCCAGGGCCCCCCATCTTCTGGCCTTTTCCCCCACTTGGCTAACTTCTGTTTTTTGAAGATCCAGGTCTCCTACGAAGGCTTTTCTCCCTTTCTGCTGGGGGTGCAGCCGTTGTGATCCCACAAAACCCTACGATCACTCCATCACAATACTTTTTCACGTTTTGTCATTACCCCTCTCCTACTTGGGCAGGAGGAAATCAAAGCTCTGCACCTGCACAGGGGAGGAAAAGGAGTGCAAGACTCAAATCAGAGTCCCCAGAATTTCTACATTTAAGAGTAACAGCCAGGAAGGATGAAGCACTGGAAGAGGAATGCCTCCTGAGAGTGCTGGTCGTGAGCATAATCTCAACACATCACACACAGTGCCTCAAGGCTTGCTGAACAAATTATTAAGATATATGTCTCCTTTGTTAAGAATTGAAAACTATCAGAATTTATGACAGTGGGAAGACTCCACCTCCATTTTATATGGTTTTAGGATTTAGCTTATACATAGTAACCAAATCATTTTCTTTTATTCATTTACATGAATTTCTCTATTACATATCCAATAATACTTGAATTTTTTCACACAAACACATAAATACATCTTGCACATACATGCCACATAACAGAAACATTTATTTATAAATTTGGAAACATGGGAACTACTTGGGTTCAGATTCTGGATATGCCACTTTTAAGTCAAGCAACCTCAAAGGACCATTTAACCTCGCTATGCAAATCCTCTGCAAAGAAGTGGAAAGAATTTTAACTTATATAGTTGTAAGGATTAAAAAAGACATTATTTATGAAATGCGTTGTGAACTATATATAGGGAATGTTTAATTTAGTATTTTCACATGGATTTAGATACAGTACTACTTAAATTGTATTTCTAAGAAAACTACACATAAGTTTAAAATGCCTTTTCCCCCCTTAGAACTTTTTTAAAAACTGAGATATTATATTTTCACATGTACGACATGATTCTATACTTGTATATATTGTAAAACAGGCACCACAATAAATCTAGTTAACATCCGTCACCACACAGTTACAAAATTGTTTTGCTTGTGATGAGAACGTTTAAGGTCCATCTTAGCAACATTCAAATACACAATACAGTATTATTAACTAAAGTCACCATGCTGTGCATTACATATCCATGATTGATTTATAATTGGAAGTATGTATTTTTTGACCCCTTTCACCCATTTCACCCACTCTGTACCCTCCACTTCTGGCAACCAGCATGTGTTCTCTGTATCTATAAGCTGCCGTTTTTGTTTTTTTTTTAGATTCCACATATAAGTGAGATCATATGGTATTTGTCTTTCTCTCTGACTTATTTTACTTAGCATAGTGCCCCTGAGATCCATCCATGTTGTCATAAATGGAAAGATTTCCTTCTTTTTATGGATGAATAACATTCCATTGTAGATATAATACACACACACACACACACACACACACACACACACACACACACACACACCTACCTACCTACCTACCCATCATGCTTTCTTTATCCATTCACTTATCCATCGATGGCCACCTAGGTGGCTTTCAAAAGGGCTTTCTTAAACATTAGTCCTGTCTTCTCATAGTAATATGTTTTAAAGCCATTCGAATTAAACAATGCACAGTAGGATACTGAATTTTTATTAAGTACCAAGAGTATACTGCAATGGTTGCTATATAAAAACATAATTATCAGTATAGTGCCCCTGCCATTGAGCTTACAATCTAAAAGTAAATACAATAAGAATGCTGTAAGCCTACCTCAAATTTTCCTTAACTTAGAAATGGCATTTTGGCAAATAAGTGAGGCAGAGTGGCCTGTCATTTCAGGTGCAATGTTAATAAGGCTTTGAACATGATCTAAAGAATGTTTTATTTGTATCCAGACATTTTTTCCCAATTATATTAGGCTTGGTAAGAAAAAGAGCATTTAGAAATATGGTAAGAACTATGAATTATTTAAAATTGCGTTGCAAGACTTTAAATAGATACTTACTAGCCTGAGTTTTTCCACAGCTAGAGAAAGCTCCATGAAAAATAGTATGAACTAAACCAAGTTTGTCTTCTGTTCCACTTAGAACTTTTCAACTGCTTCCTCTTTTCCCACATATAAGGGTTCCAATGATAGCCCTATTGAGGAAGAAAGCACTGTATCTACATAAAATACCCTAAAGTGTTAGAGGCTTAAAAAGTTGAACTTTCAGAAATATTAATTCATATATTAAGAGAAGAGTGAGCAAAGATAGCAGTGGGACCTCTGGCAATAGGAGAGACCTGTCTATGTAAGATATGTAAACAAAGCAGCTGAGTTCTGTCCATGCATCTTCAAAGTGATTAAGATATAGGTAAATAGTTACTTTTCTGCTCCATATTTCTGGTGTAGGGTATTTAAGAATTTAACATCCAGACCCTATATACTTTTAAAGTTTTCACTGCTGGTCATAAATTAGCTGACAAAGGCACATGGAAGGGATTTCGATTCTTACTGTCAAATGCAAAGACTGTTTGAAACTTCAGAACTCATGCAGTCTTAACTATATATATTGATTAATTTCAATCTTCTGTAATTCTTTGAACTCTAAAAGAACACTAAAAAATAAAGTTATCTGAAAACCGAAATAGAATTTATCTCATAAAGTACATGCATACTTTTTAATACATGCATACAAATATTTTAATGGCAGAGTAGTAGCATCCTGAGATATTTTTAATGCCAAAACAATATTTTAGAAAATTCTGGAGAAAACAATCATTTTCCCTTTAGAAGTCCATCTTGGCAACTTTCTTTTAAATAACACAGCAACATTTAAATAATGTTCACAAAGTTTGCTTTGCATCCAAGTTTATCGAGAAAGAATGGTCCAGAAACTTCAGAATAAGATAAAGTAGAATAATTCATGACTTTTTGACCTAAAATTGACACTTAAACATCCCTTTTCCAATTTAAAAGTATCATTTATACTTCTTACTTATAGCAAATAAATTCAATTAATTATGAAATTTGAAGTGAAAAACTTGAAACATATCAACATCATTCTCTTATACTAAGATGGCAGAAATTAATTTTAATGTTTCCCAAAAAGGGAGAAAAAAATTTTTTTTAAATAATCGTAGCTGTGGCAAATAAATTTGAGTTTATAAATCTCAACCAGTGTACCTATTTTTAGTTGGTATTATATGAAGCTGCTTGAATTCCTGATTAAGGTATGTGTTTTTCTAAGACAAGGCAAGGTTATGTATAAAGCATAGATATTAATATGGTTATAATAAAGGTAATATGACCAATACGTATACATTCACTTTTTTTAAATGATACATCCAAGCTACATAAAATTTAATTTCATGTCCTATTCTAAGACTACATCTTTGACCTTATGTTTAGAAACATAATTGCTGTAATACATTAAAAAATACTCCATTTTCCAATATTGTAAAGTATGCTGTATTGTCAAATACATAGAATAAATTTTTTTTGCACAAAATTAAAAAAAACATACTATAAGCTAGCCGTAACTATGTTAAGTAATTGTATGAAAGAAGAAGTTCACAAGGAGAACAAAATATAAAACAGCATAATTATTGAATTTCACAACAAAAAACCTCTAAAATCAAGTAGTTCTGAATATACTTGTTTCTTGTCTTAGTAATGTGTATATTCATTTTGTAGCTACCAGTCTGATTAACATACTAAGATTCCATAAGATTTGTTTTTCTTGGTTAGTTTTCTTCTCTACAATGTCCCTAACAGCAGTTGGATTTAATTTTCTTTTGAGTACAAAGTAAAATAAAGTTTATATTTTTTAGCTGTGTCTTATAAAAGCTGACTCATTACTTTCATTTTTAAAAAGTTGTATGTAAATTTTTGGACCTTAATTAACATTTAGCTATGTGATTTTTGCTATTAAGTATAGTCTATACTTAAACAAATTGATGATTACTGACAAAGGCAAATCTTGATTTTATCTGTTTTAAATATGATTACACAAATTTATTTTCTTTTTTAATGAGAAAAAAAGAGATGAAGAAAACCATGTAGGTTTTCTTCACTCTCAACTATTTTGAGAAATAGGTTTAAATAAGGGTAGATCACATCAATAATGTTGGTAATCTCTGATCTTTGCAAAGAAGAAAATAATAAAGGAAATTATTTCCTTCCTAAGGTCTCAGCTAGTTTCTTAAGTCTTTTCTTCAGCTCCAGTGGAAATTTCTCATAACACTTCTTACAGACAGGTTTCATGTCAAACTCCACAAATTTATTCCTAGAGATAATAAAAAAAAAATTAGTGGAAATATATTTAACATAGACATGTAAATAATATGAAATAATTTTACCGAAGTAAATGAAGATACTACATGGTGATGTGTTAGCAAAAAAACTATAATTCTAATCTCAATTCTGGTCATCGTGGTAAACGTGAAAAAAGTCACAATATTTGAAAAAATTATCCTTATAAATTGATGCTATACATCTACCTGTGTAATACAGAATGTGTATTACATTTTAGTCAGTGGTAAGTATACAGGATACCTAATATAAATATAATATAGGTAACTAAAGTCAGTCGCATTTTAAAGTACCATGACAACACTTTAAAGAAGTTATTTAAAGCAAAGAATTATATTTCTGTAATTCGAATGATCCCCTAATTGAAGGCAAAATAATCTTACTTAGTATTTTAAATTAGGTAGTTAATGAGGTTTTGTCTTTCCTGGCATAAAATGGTGTGCCTATCACTACCGCCACCAACAATAACAAAATCACCTTAAAAAAAGTTGTCTTAAAAATATCTTAAATCATAATGGGTTATTCTGGTTGGCTGTCTGACAGAAAGGTTGGTAAGGGAGGTATAGAAAAGTTTTTAATCACAAATGAACCAAATTGCCTCTGGTTACATTTTGTGAATGATAGCCGTATGGAGAACTAATTCTTTTTAAAAGCTACAGCAATACACATTATCAATTTAGTTGTAAAACAGTTCGGGAGAGGACAAGTTTTCAGATGCCCTACCTGTAATGCATTTCTAATCGGTAATTAAAATAGCTTATTACTGTTGAAATCTAGGGTCTTTAATTGTGAACTGAGCAAATATACAACTTTATAACTTGTTCATTTTCTGTAAAATTACATTTAAGAAGCATTTGTGGAGCTAGTCTGGTGGCACATTAGCATTTATGACACATGATTAAATCTTGTGATACAATTTTAAAGAACATTAATAACAAAGTTAATTCCTAACCATGTATTTAAAATGAAAAATCTTTTATTTTAAAGCACCACATGGGAATTATTTTCTAGCTGTTTGTCAGAGATTCTAATGCTGATAGTAATTCAAATAACGTTACATTTCAATTGGCAGTTTGATTTAAATAGTACTACTGAGTTAAAAATTTCTCCCAAACCCACCTTCGAACAAAAGGTATTAAAATTGCCCTGTTTTAAATGAAGGAAATAAAGTTTTACTGTTTTCAGAAATACAAATTGCCTAAGCAAACTTTCCATTGATTTAATTTTATATTTAAAGTTTAATTTCTCTTTTTAGAAGGAAACATGAAAACTGAAAAAAATTTTAAAAATTTAAATCTCAGAACACAGCGGTAACCATGAAGGAAAAATAGGACAATCATGTTAGTAATCAACAGAATTTCAAAGATTGAAATATTTCTCGTAAAAATCAGGAATATAGTGGGAGTTTGGAAACATCAAGAAAATGAATTCATTAACAGTAGCATATGGGCATTGTATGAAAGAATGCAGATATACATACACCAAAGATAGTAGATATCTTATTATATACATTAGATGGTGTTTGCTTAGATCTGAAACATGCTGAAAGGATTTAATACAGAGCTTAGAAGATGAGACACTCAGAATTTATCATACATTATTTTAGGCAACGAACCCAAAAACCAGGATTTTAAAAGCTGTAATTACCATACAAAAATATGTTAAAACTTTTCCCAGTATTAAGGGATTGAAATTCTTCCCTTTGAATCTCTTAAAAAAAAAAAAAAAAAAAAAGAAATCTATTCCATATTGTGATTTAAAAAAAGAGATGAAAGAATCTACGGATTAAGGGTAATAAATGAAGTACAAGATGCTATTAAGTGTGAATCTTATTAAGCTCTGTAATTTTAATATTTATGTAAAAGGACCAACTCTACACAAGACGAATGATTGTACTTCAATCTTTGGTGGCTACAAATACATGCCAAAAAGAAATTTTAAAAGTAAAAGACAAAAACACAACAAAAACAGAACAATATTCTAAGGGACTAACCAAAGAAGGAAGTGAAAATGATGACAGAAGGGACAGAAAAGTTTACAAACAGACTGGTTTTTTCTTTTTCTGCTTGTCTTTATCCTTTGCTTCTCTCTCCCGTTTGGCAAGTCGCCTCTTAAATTCTTCTGGCATTTTCTCATAACAGTGTTTGCAGACTGGTTTTAGATCAATTTCAACAAACTTGTCCCTTTGAGCAGGACAAAGAAAGAATAGAAGAACAGGGAAGGAACAATTAAAGGAAGAACTTTTACTTTCGGAAGGCCTGAGTAGAAAGAAAAAAGGAACGAAATAATTCTCTTTTTAAAAACTCTGTTTTTAAAAATGTTACCCTAAAGTTTTCAGTCTTAAGGTTCTCACACTGGACCCAACTGTAGACTTACTTGAGTGTTAACTTAGTGTTGCAGGTAGAACAGGCAAAACAGTTCACGCACCAGGCCTTATTAAGAGCAGAAACCACTAGAGAGAGGAAAGATATTTGGTCACGTACACTGGTATGGGAAGTGGGTGAGCTTAAATTTTCAACTCCAAAACAGAATTAAGGTTATTTCCAAGACTCTTGGAAGAGGTTCTCAAGAGGTTTTGCTGCAAAAGAATCACACAGCTAAAAACCTCAGTGTCATTAATGTTTATTGAATCAATTTGATTATTTTTTCACATTATTAAAAATATACAAACCAAATACTTAATTTATGTCTTCCATGACAGTAGGCTTTGTCTTAGAGAAGATTATTATTGACCTTTTCAACTTTAATTTACAATAAAAATATGTCCTCTCACACCTATGGATGATGCAGTATAAAAGTAACATGCATTATGTCACTCAGATGAGCTTTTCTGACACAGTGCTTGCCTACCAGCATACTTTTCACTACTTTTCTATCCCTACTGCCAATGGTCCAACAAAGAAATATGGAATACAGAAGTAATTAAAGAAAAAAAATCCAGACATTAACATATTCGCCTATAGGAGTCTTTCTTCCAAAGCCGAGAGTTTCCTTTGACAGTTTCTGTCACCTAGCAACTAACTGTCCCACGTAAGAGGAAATTTTATTTTCAGCAGCACTAAAGACTGCTTCCTTGAACAGATCCTTTCGCAAAATGCATATGAGCATTGTTTCAGAAAATATTTCCCGAGTTAGGTTCGCTGCCGAGAACCATGAAGCATACTGAAAACAGGAATGTTTAAAACTTTGACAGGAAGTTTCTGGCACAATTGTGCTAGCAACTATTAACAAACACAGCTGTTTCCTTTCTGCTCTAGTCAATCAGCCATGCCTAATTACCAAAATACAAGGGTGTTAAGTCCTAGAAATGTCTACAGGTAACTGCCAGGTTATAGCATCTGCAAGGTTAAAGTGACTTCCTCACTACCATAGCAGATTAAATTGTTCCTAATTAACAGTGCTCTACAGCTTCCAAGTTATATGATTCAAAAACAGGTCTCGGTTGGCATCTTACATTTCCTAGTGTAACTGGCCTAAAGTATTATCACAAATGAATAAATCCAACTCTTAGGCTATTATCATCTCACTGCTATAGATTACTTAAGAAATATGCCAAAGAAAGAGAAAAAGTAACTGATAATTGTCATATTCCGAACAATAACAACCATCAGCCTTTTTCAATTTTCACATTACTCAAGTGTTTTTGTGTCAAAATGGTGCCATATAAAATCTCTCACTTACCATCACCTTCTATAACACGGTTGCAGTGGAAACAAACATCACCGAATAGCTGAAAATGAAAAAAAAAGTGGTTAAAATTCAAGATGTGTCAGAACTAAATTTTAGGACACCAAATAATTAATGTAATTTCACTTCTACCACTTAAAAACAAACAGCTGGCTACCTAAATCCATATTTTACCATTTCTAGAGAAAATAAGTACAAATTAATTGACTAATTTTTACTTTTCATGATGAAAATAATTTACTTTCATCACTATCAAAAACAAAAACACTCTGGAAATGTTCCAGATTTAAGGACGCTAAGAATCATGACAATCCTAGACTAGGTCCAGTACTAGAGTGGAAAAAAAATGCTATAAGGACATTACTGGATCAAGTGACAAAACTGGAATAAATAAAGTGGTGTATCAATACTGATAACTACTGTTATGTAAGAGAGTTCTATATTCTTAGAAAATATACATTGAAGTGAACTTAGTGATGCATCAAATGCTTCAGAAAATGTGTGTATTTGTATATATGTATACATTTGTTTAGAGAGATATATGCATTTATATGTGTTTTTATAGAGAGCAAGCACACGCAATTAAAGCAAATGATGAACCTGAACAAAAGGTAGATAGGTGTTTATATTTTTTATTTTACAACTTTTCTGTGAGTCTAAAATTATTTCACAAATAAAAAGTTAAAAGAAATATCTATAATCCAATGTACATTTTCCAAAAGATTTCTTTGTAGCTAAGGTATTGATAAGCTTAAATTCATAAAAGTGTATCTAGTATCCAATAAGTACAATCAATACCTGGTTATAGTGGGTTTCACAATATGCCAGGCCCTTCCTTTCATAATGGCGATGTCCAAGAAATGGTTTTTCACACTTGGCACAAACAAAATGCTGAAAAAGATCGCTACAGGTCATTTCTGAATTGCCATATTTTACTTATTTAATGAAGTAAAACTCCAAAGTTAAACTATCTTCAAAGAAGATACATGAAAGTTTGAGGAAGTTATTTCATTTGGTCATAGCTAATACTGTAGTACTTCCGGTTTTAATTCAGGTATCTTTGACCGGTGACATTAAGACACGGCCTATTCAAACATCACGGAATGAGAAAAGGGGATCATACTAGCAGCATCTATAAGCTAGGCCTGCTGCTAGACGTGACCGTGACACTTCTTGCCTCAAGAAGATTTAAGAACAAAAGAGCATATCCTATATCATTACCAAGAGATCACATAAGTAGTGTATATTCTATATTCTTAATTTTATACAAAGTTAATTGTCTTTAAAAATGTCTCTATTTAATCTTTAGAATCTCCTAATCATGCTACCACATCTGAATCAAGGAAATTCAAAAGTACTGGTTACTAACTATACCATTCAGAACTCACCTCCACGTGCCACTGCTTGCCCATGGCATTTACCACACGCCCTTCAATGGGCCGTCGACAGGCACCACAGATGGGGACCCCCATTTTATCATGGCACGGCAAGCAGTACAGTTCTCCTTTCAGCTCCCGAGCATCAGCAGTCAGCTCCTTCCTATTCATGAAAAAGATACCCAACTGAATGATACTACCAAGAGAGAAAAAGACAGGCAACAATGTGGCTAACACTTTTTAGAAGGTTTTTGAAGATACCACTATAATAATGCCTATAACTTTTTTTTTGGTGATCAAAGTAACCTAAATTAATAGGTTTTAATAGGTTTCGGATTCCTATCAAAACATCAATATCATATAATAATGATCAAATGTACCAATAAGTCAGATACATACAGTCACAATGGTCATATTTATCATTTCCTTGTCTATTATTACATTATAGTCCATTTGTCTTCCTTAAAAAACTAGAAGAAAATAATCACAATACTAAGGACAGACTCAGTGATATTATCTTCTCCCCAAAAAACAGGAGTTTGGAGACTAGTTCCATTTACTAATAATTATTTAAACCGTCATAAACTTTTAAGAATAGTTATTGGTTAATAGGAAATAAACAAATGAAATACCCAGAATTTTCCATCTCCAAATGCTTAAGTACTCTATTATTTTCAGTCTCCTGTGTCAAAAAACATGCCAGATAGCTCCAATTAGCCGAATGGATTGTTTGAATTTCATGTGTTAAAATAATTCTTTAAAAGTGCTAATGAAAAATGAGAAACATTCCACGAGAGGGAGGATAGGCAAGAAAACCAGATAAGTCACAAACTGATAATCACAAAAAAGATGAGGTGGCTGTACTTAAAGCACAAATCTGTTTTCTTAACATTTAGTCCACCTTATTTCTTCCTCTACTATGACGTAGCATGTAAATTGATATTGATTACAGTAAAATCTTTTTTCCTTTAAATTTATATACTAGATAGCAAATTCAGAAAATTGTAGCCTAACAATTTCTCATGAGTTTTTGAAGAAAAAAAGATTCTCTTTAGATGTAATTTAAGATATTTTGAGATAATCTCCTAATTACCACAACTGTAAAAGTTATATATGTATAAATAGAAGACTTTTAAAAGCTTTTTTTGGATCCTGTATTGGAAAAACAGTTTTAGGGATAATTGGGGATATTTTAATATGGTCTGAATATTTCAAGGTATGTGTACATGTACATGTGCACATATACACAAACACAAAGTTCACTGCTCACAATCAAATGTGGCAAAATGTTAACTGGTGAAACTCAATGAAGGGTTTATAGGTATAATTCTTTATATTTCTCTCTTGACTTTTCTATAGGTTTAAAATTTGCCAAATTACAAGTTGAAGAAAAACAATTTGGTTTGCCAGAGTAACATAAATATAGATAAATGTGATCTTTCATTTTATTTCCACTATTTGTGCAATAAAAAAGAAAGAAATTGCAATACCCGCAGTTGGCACAGTTGAAATGGTCTGGATGGTAAGGGTCGTTCTTGAATATTAGAGGCTGCTCATCAATGATGGCGTGGCATTTCTGGCAGATGTATTTTCCAAGGCCCCTGGCTTTCTCACGATTATGACAGGGGCGACACAGATGTCTAAAAAGAGCCAAAACTTTTTTAGAAACTTAAATTTAAAATCTAAAGTTCTTCCTAATAATTAAAACAAAATGTTTCCCATGTTTCTAAAAAGAAATTAAAGACATCATTTCTTTAGAAATCACTTCTGACTAATAGAGCTGAATCAAGCCACTACTTTTTACATGAAAAATTATTTATTCCAATCCAAATAATCTGATCTTTCAGAAACTCCATTTTAAGTACCATTTTTGTTGGCCCAGGAACACATGTGGCAGCCAAGCACTACTACGCAAAAATTCTAGGGCCCTTTCCTAACAGGTACCAGACAAGTCAATACACTGCAGTCTTGAGTCCCTATACGTTAAATACAGTGACCTAATTAATGCACCACCTAACAGTTCCATCAGAAAACATGCATGACCGCGTAGTAGCCACTTTATCCACTCAAATCTGACAAGGATAAAAACACTCCTACCTCCCAGCGTTCTTGACAAACCCGATATCTGCCAACACTTCCTGGCAGAGGTCACAGCGGAAGCACTCAGGATGCCAGCTGTTATTCATGGCTTTGATAACTCGGCCAATGATGAATTCGCCTGTGGAAAAGTAACACACAAAATATGTCCAACGTGGTATCTTATTGTTAAAAGCAGTAAAGGAAAAAAAATGAGGAAAAAAATACATTTAAATCTTTCTACACAAATAGGGACTTTTTATGTGTGTGTCTACGGCAATATGCTCTACATTAGAACAATGTTTTCTATTTCATCTGAATCCTTGTTTTGATTCTGTAGCTGTATTTCTGGGCTGTTGTATCATATCTCTGATTCTGGCTTTCCTTTTTCATTGTAGTGGGCTCTCTTGAATGCCTTTTGGTAATTTCTGGTCATCACTGACAGAAAACTGGTATCTACAGCACATTTTCTTGTAACCCATGCTTAATTTCTTCTTTCATTAAATCTTTCCAACATGGTACCCAGTTTCTCTAATTTCTGGACACTTTCTAGTAGAGCTGTTAGCAATCAGTGAAATGGCTTAGAAGCAAGTCCAGCACTTTTGTAACACACAAGCAGTCCTTAAGCTCCTTAAGCACCTCACTGGTGTTTTCCCTGTCTCTTTCCTGGCAAACCCAAAAGAAAGTAGGTAAAGTCTGCATCAACAGGGGAAATGGACATTACAGAAGATCATCTAACAGAAGTCCTGGTTAGTCCTGAAATACTTTTATAGTAGATGTCCTTAAACATCAATTCTTTCCATGTTTTGATACTCTTTCCAGTTTGTTATATAGTAGTAACAGGAAAGAGGACTGGTAAAGTACTTAAATGCTATTTACACGGAGCACCCAAAACCATTTTTTACCACTGACACTGTAGTAGTATTAAATAACTTATGTAATTTTGAAACTTACTTATTTTGCATTCAGCAGTAAAACTTACCACACTGATGACAGCAAGGAGCAAAGAGCATCTGAAAATCATGTTCACAGTATTTCCTTCCTTCAAACTAAAATAGAAAGTACCATCAACTTGCAAATATGAAATAATCAGAGGATGAATCTAATTATTCTATAGAGACATATAGGAAAGATGTTTCTGAATTGAGAGTTCTACCCCCAAAATTTATAATTCCACTGAGAGTTTTAAAAGCAGATATACTTTTGTACCTTCCATACATCTACATGTGGGCACAGGAAATGTACAACAAACAAGTTGAGACTAGAACTAATATTGTGTCTCCAGAGTCTGGGAACCTTGCCTATAACTGTACTTAATTGTTTTTTGGAAAGCTACAGACCCCACTCCCCAGAAAATATGCACATAAATACAACCATTTCCCACATATTTTTAAGGTTAATATCTAAAAATTTTACTGTAAGCTTAAATATTTACAAAGGGTAAGTATTTTAGCATATTCTAAATTTAAACGGGGTCAAAACCATTAAAAAAATTAAGTATGTTTTTAACAGTTGGAATATTTACATTCTTCATTTCCCTCCTTGAACTGTTTCCATTACATTTCCCCCAAAGTTTTATCCTAGTATATTTTTTTATACTAATGTTTTTAACTGAATACCCTACCATACTCCACTGCAATTAAAATTTGTTTTACCTTCTGAATTCATAAGGCTCTAAAAATTGACATTCTTTTTCTTCAGGATTGAGTTATCATTATAATGATTATTAATACACAAATGATCAATATGTAAATTGTGAATGTTAAATTTTTTCAGTTTTATTTATTTTTTATTTTTTTAAATGCCAGCTTATTTTTTCATACTATATATACATAATTCATTCAACATTTTATTTATTTTTCCCCTCCTCCCACCAACAAATGTTAAATTTTGTTTTTTACTATTTAATTATTTACTTGAAAAGCATATCTTAATGAGATGAGCAGAGCTATTCTTTCCCCTCATAATTATTTCCTGCATCTATGAATAAATATGACTTACTACTAGAAGAGTTAGGGTTCAGTATTAATTCTAGATTTATTTTCTATTTTGGGGGTTGCTTTTACCCTTTTCACATAAAAAGTTCTGGGAATTATATAATGTCCTCTTCTGAATCTTTGAGCTCCTTACAAGTTATATGTCAAAATCATATATTCTTTGATTATCAAAATCTATTTTTAATAATGTATCACAGCTGTCAACTCAACTTCCTCAATTATGAAAATTATCTGCAGATTTAGCTCATTCAATTTCTTGAACAAATCCACAAATGCTTAATTGGCAAACCAGCCAAAGCAGATTTATTTTGGGCGGGAAATCTTACTCTATTTTTAAATTCAAATGAATAAACTCTAATATGCTTAATGAATCGATTTTTAAAGGTTCCAAATAGAAGATCAACATGCTATTACTCAACACTTTGTTATAACATAATGCATTTAATGTGTAGCCCAAAGTGGAAGTTATTTATAAAGTGAGATATGTTCCTTTATTGAATATATATTACATACATGTATAGAAAGAAATACGATGTTTAGCTAGTACTAATTTAAAAAAGAAATGAAATCGAATATAAAAACTCTGAAATAACTCCATTAATTTAGTTAGAAACAATCAACTTTTTACCTGCCACCCCAATCTTAATCACTGCTGGAAGAATGATCTCAGAACTGTTTGTTTCAATTGGCCATTTAATAGTAAAAAAGTGGTAGATAAAAACAATGCATTGTTAAACCTTCAAAAAGAAAGGAGAAGCTTCTGGTCAAGATGGCAAAGTAGGTAAACGCTGTGCTTATCTCCTCTCACATCAGAATTACAACTAAACTACAGAATAGCCATCATTGGGAGTTGCCTGAAGTCTAGCTGAACAGAAGTCCTACAGCTGGGGACACACAGAAGAGGCCACCTCGAGACTGGTAAGAAAAGAGGAGATGCGAAGCATCTGGTCCCACACCCATGTGTGGCAGTTGAGAACTGGGAGAAATATCTTGGCTGTGGAAGTTCCCCCAGAAGAGCGAAGTTTCCTGGCCCTACAAGGTGCTCCCCAGCTCGGGATTCCAGTGCTGGGAAGAGAAGTCCTCACAACTTCTGGCCGTGAAACCCAGTGGAGAATGTGGCAGAGTGAGACAGACGACTGAAAGATTCGCAGACTTTCCTGTTAAAGGGCCTGTGTGCGGACTTACTCACTAATGGACTCACTCACTCTAAGCTCCAGCACTGGGGTAGCAGCTCGAAAGGCTCCAGGAACATATGGGGAGGAACTGAGTTGTAAAGCTTCAGGGAGAAGGCTGGAGCGGCAGCTTTCTATGAGACAGAAGTGTTGGCAGAGGTCATTGTTCCTTTGTTAAGCCCTCACCTGCCTGGCTTACAGACCCATGCAGCTGCCATATCTGAGTCTCCATCAATGTAGCTAACATCGTTCACCCCACCCCGGTGATTCCGTGAGACCCCTCCCAATGTGGGGTCCCACCCAAGCCACTTCCAGTGAATTTTCCATACAAATGGCCTGTCTTGGCTGATGCTGCAAACTTTCCTAAAATCTTTCAAAGGTTCACAATACCTAAACAAGCAGCATCTGGGTTCAGCATGCCCTGTACCTCTTGCTGAGCAGCCCCAAGTCTGGCACTAGCGGCAGCGGCCTCAGTTTGTGGCTTGGCCTCTCGAGGCACTTCCAAGCCCAGCGTGGGTGGCAGCCATCTGTGTATTGCTTAGTGGCTCATGCCAGGTGGCCCCCGGCAGGGTACAGGCTACAGCTGAACTTGGACTATGGCAAGGCCCCTCCCAGGAGGCCCGGCCTGTATGCCGCGGGGCTGGCTTCGGTTTGAGCCGGAGCACTACACGGGGTCACATCTGAGGATGACATACCCAAAGGGCAGACAAGGGAGGCACCAGAGCCCTGCTAAAGTGAATCCTGCTCTGTAGGGGCAGCTCCTGCACAACAGCTCCTCTACTGGTAACAGCCAGTCATCACAACAAATCAGCTTGAGGGTTAATCCCTCCCACTGACGAACAAACAGCAACCAATGCTCAACTATAACAGGAGGATACATACAACCCATACAAGAGACACACTTGGAGAACCTGGCTCAGGTGACCAGGGAAGACTGTGCCACTGGGACCCACAGCACACCTACTACATAAGGTCATTCTACTAAGACCGCAGCCCTACCTAATACACAGAAACAAACACAAGTAGGTAGCCAAAATGAGAAGACAAGGAAACATGTCCCAAATAAAAGAACAGAACAAAATTCTAGAAAAAGAACTAAACAAAATGGAGACAAGCAATCTACCAGATGCAGAGTTCAAAACATTGGTTATAAGGATGCTAAATGATCTCAGTGAACTTCAACAAAAAGATCAGAAACATAAAAATAAAGATAGAAAACAAAAAAAACAGTCAGAAATGAAGACTACAGTAACTAAAATGAAGAATGCATTAGAGGGAATCAATGATAGATTAGATGAAACAGAAGACTGAATCAGCAATTTAGAAGATAAGGTATCAGAAAATACCCAAGCAGAACAGTAAAAAGAAAGAAGAATCCAAAAAATGAGGATAGTTTAGGGAGCCCCTGGGACAACATTCACATCATAAGGGTACCAGGAGGAGACGACAGAGCAAAGAATTAAAAACCAATTTAAAGAAGTAATGACTGAAAATTCCCTTCACCTGGCAAAGGAAAAAGACATAAGTCCAGGAAGACAGTCCCAAACACAATGAACCCAAAGAGGTCCACGCCAAGACACATCATAATTAAAATGCAAAAGGGTGAAGACAGAGAGAATATTAAAAGCAGCAAGAGGAAAGCAGTTAGTTAACTACAAGGGAGCTTCCATTAGACTGTCAGCTGATTTCTCAACATAAACTTTGCAGACCAGAAGGGATTGGCAGGAAATATTCAAAGTGATGAAAAAGCAAGGACCTACAACCAAGATTACTCTACCCAGCAAAGCTATCATTTAGAATAAAAGGATAGATAAAGATCTTCCCAGACAAGAAAAAGCTAAAATGATGGAGTTCATCATCACTAAATCAGTATTACAGAAAATGTTAGAGGAACTTTTTAAGAAGAAAAAAAAAAAAGATAAAAATTCTAAATAATAAAATGGCAATAACTACATATCTAGCACACAATTACTTTAAATGTAAATGGATTAAATGTTCCATTCAAAAGATAGGGTGGCTGAAAGGATAAGAAAACGAGACCCTTACATATGCTGCCTACAAGAGACTCACTTCAGAAAGACACACACTGAAATAAAGGGATGAAAAAAAAAAGTTTCATGAAAATGAAAAACAAACGAACAAAAAGCTGGGGTAGCAATAAGACAAAATAAACTTTAAAACAAAGGCTGTAACAAGAGACAAAGAAGGATCCAGTTATCTCACTTACGGGTATTTATCTGAAGAAACCAACACACTACTTTGAAGGGACATGTGAATTCATATGTTCACTGCAGCATTATTTACAGTAGCCAAGATATGGAGGCATCCTGGGTGTCCATCAATGGATGAATGGGTGAAGAAGAGGTGGTACATATATACAATAGAATATTAGCCACAAAAAAAGAATAAAATATTTCCACCTGCAACGACATGGATGGACCTAGAGAATATTGTGCTGAGTGGAGTCAGAGAAAGAAAGCCAAATGTTAGATGTGAAACCTAGAGAACAGGATAGACAAATAACAGAAACAAGCTCATAGATACAGAGAGCATTCTGATGGTTGTCAGATTGTGGGGTGGGAAGATGGGTGAAGGGGGAGGGGATTAAGAGGTACAAATTAGTAGTTTCAAAATAGTTATGGAAATGTAGAGAGGTACATGGGGAATATAGTCAGAAGTATCATAATAACTATGTATGGTGCCAGATGGGTACTGAATTTATAGGGGTGACAACGTCATAAGTTATATAAATGTCTAATCGCTGTGTTGTACACCTGAAATTACCATAATACTGTATGTCAACTATAATTGAAAAAAAATAAAAATATAAAAATGTTTTTAAAAAGGAAAGAATGTTTTGGGGACCATTTATTTTCTGTG